AAAGAACGAACCTGCAAATGTCTCAACTGACCAATCAGAATCAAGCATTCCAGAGAGCCGTGTAATAATGAGAAATAATACGTACCTCAGTGAATGTGAAGGGCATGCAAGTACAGATGCACAGGCCATACTGTGAAATGGAAATTCTGTTACACCTTCTGGCGTTGACATTAAATGTGTGTATATGTTTATGTGTGCATTTTATGTATTCGGGTCTAACATGTCTAACATGGTGAAGGCCTGTAATGTACCTGTGTTTGTATTAATCAGACTGAAGACAAATATCCTTATAGGACAATAAAGGCTATGTAATCTATCAATCTATTGTTGTGGTTTTTCCTTCCCCGCCAAATCAAAAAGTCAGAAGCCGCTGGTGTAGATCCAAATTCAGTCTTTATTACAACAATGAAGTTACAACCAAGTATGTCCGATACTGTTTTACACCAATCTTTATACATTTTCTTATTGTGTAATAATACCTTGCCACTTAAGCATCATCATTCCCTCAACCATTCACCATCGTTGTTTTCTCCCTTAATCCACACCCCTATGTGATAAGTTTGTCAATCATCTCTTTCACTGTTTGGTGCCTCGGCTGAACATAACGGTGACGTGACCATCTCTACTCGTTTTTTTTAAATACTCAGCCGTGAACTTTAGGTGAACTCAGACAAATCCCTTTCTTCAGTAGCAAACCATGGCAGCTTCTGCTTGTGGCAGATTGTCTGGCCAGGTGGTTAATAAGGTATTTGTCCTTCTACATAGTGATAAGCTGCAGCACTAATAAAGTACATATTCATACACTAAAGGCTAACAAAATGGCTAACAGATACAGAAACTTCTAAGCCAACACAGGTGCTTATTCATGCTTGTTTTTTGTTACAGTGTGCGCAGCAGTAACTCAGACCTGCAAACTCATCAGAGAAAAAAAGGTGACAGTGTCCGGGGGGGGGGGGGTGTTAGGCGCATGACACTAAAATAGGAAAACAACAAGAGAACCAAAACACAAATCATATTATACTGAAAAACATTTATTTTTTCCTTCTTAGCCTGGACAAGGGTTTCACAAACACACACGCACACAAACGCCATGGAGGGAAATTAAAAACATTCATTTTCTTTAATGAAAAACATACTGAAAAATAGTATGTTTTACTGAAAAACATTCATTTTTTTCTTCTTCTTAGCCTGGACAAGGGTTTCACAAGCTCGCTTTCGTTGTTTGGCCGCATGCCTCCTTCTGGGCAGAGCCTCCTCTTCTGCCTTGGTTCTTCTGGCTGCGGCAGCGCTTGAGGATGGCTGGCAGTCGAACACCCTCCGTCTCTCCATCTCCTTCAAGGCTGCTTGCTTTCTTAAAGCTTTGTCCTCACTTCCACCTTGAGCCATGCCCAGCTCCATTTGCACCTCCCTGCTGAGTCTAGTTGTGCTACATACAATGAGTGCTCCTCATTCAGCTCCCTCATTCTAAAATGGAAAATGAACACAGGATAAGTTAGCCAATCTCATCGAACTAAGGACTGATTGGTGTTTTCAAGATATAAGGCTACTCTAATTCTGAGCTGCCCTGGGTGGGATTTAACATGAATATTCATTACAAGGCTGTAGCACACAATGCAATGCAAAGATTTCAAATGACAGCTTTGGATGCAAAATGTAGCCCTTTATTATACAGAAATTTGCTGTCGGCGAGATTGGTGCATTAGCCTTGCACGTTCGCCAGATTCTAAATAGACATTGTTTACAAGTAATGCGGTGCATCCAATGCAACAAGACGTCAAATTGCTTTATGTTACACTGTATTACTCTCGCATCAGCTGTTGTCTAAACAGTCACATCTACCCACATCAACACATCAAAAACGCTTTAAAAGTTGGGCTACGCTTGGGCTACATCCAGCTGACTTGAATGACTGCTGCGCACACGACAACCTCCATAACGTGTCGTTAATCAGGGTAGCTCAGAATTGGAGTAGTAGCCAGAACTCAGGGCAGAGCACCTGGCTTAAGTTAGGGGCTAATAAGGTTACAACCTAAGTTGGCTATCTGAAATACTATATACTTACGTAGCAAGCTAAATGGTTAACTTTAGTTAGCAAGACGGTCAGACAATGCAGGAATTAACATTACAACTAGCTAATAATGTTAGATGGCTAGAAAATTTGCCATCTTGCTAACGGAAATTCCAGCATTGGATCCGCTTGAATTGCTTGCTATTAAGCATTTTGCTCGAAGCGTAGGCTAACTGTATGGGGGGGAAAAAACGCTAGCTGACGTTATTTGACTTAAGCAAACAAATATATGTTGTTTAGCTCCAAAAAGACTGACTTACCTTGAATTCAATTTCCATCAGAGTTTCCACATTAGGTCAGGTGTCTCTTGACAGGCGCGAACACAGATGGCAGTGTGTTTCAAGATCCTGAAGCAAGCGCTGAGATTCCGATTGGTCCAGAAAAAATGTCATTTATAAGAATTGTCCAATAATGGCCTACATGGCACGCAAGCCCACCCCCACCTCCCTCTCTTGACAGGCGCGAGCTCAGTTGAGATTCCGATCGTCCCAGATGTCAATTAACGCAAGCCCCCCCCCCCCCAAAAAAAAACTCTCCGGTTCTACACGATTCACGTGAATGACCCAATTGACAATGAAAACGGCGATTGTCGCCGAAAAGCGACAAGTTTGCAGGTATGGTAACTGGTCTGCATTATCTAAAGATTACAAGGTCACTATCTACACAGTTTGCATCAGCTTCTTAAAAGAATCCTAATGATTACATTCTCTATGCGTTATGAAATGCTAAATAATATTCCATACTATCAGTCACTTTCAAAGGGAACGTACATACCATGAGCATAAGGACACCGCAATGGTTTCCAGAGGTCTGTCGAGGAAAATCCTGGAGAAACATAATTCAATATCACACTTTTCCATTAAACTGTAACACGATTTTTAAAATTGCAGCCAGTGTAGGGCATTTTTCCTATAGATGTGCAAGTACAAATAATGGTACTTTTTTTGTACACTGTCACATTCTCAAACTTTAAGCACGGATACACAATTTGTGAATCAAGCAAAAATGCAAAAATGGCAGTGTTTAATATAACTATTAGCATAATACATAAGAATATTTACAGGAAGGTCTCTGCCCGTCTTCTCAGTCCAAGGTCCTGGGTTAATGCAGTATGCAATGCACCTGTCAAATAAAATGAAAGTCCATTACAACCAGGATTTGAATGAATAACAGGCCAAATTTTAGAGCTGAAACATACAGTACAGCCACAGAACAAGGCTTCTCATGAAACCTATAGCCATAGAACAAGGCTCCTCCTGGAGTCTACAGCCTCAGAACAAGGCTCCTCATGAAACCTGTACCCAAAGAACAAGGGTTTAGAAGAAGAAAAAAATTGTTTAAACAATTACAAAGTCTGCTATACAATAAGCCATAGAACAAGGCCAAATGTCTCTGTAATCTCTGGACCTAAATATGGTTCTGTAGGCCTCATCTCCAAAACCATCAGGAATAAGAGAGTCAAGAAAGAGGATCTCTCTTTTTGCCACCAATAAAACCTGCAGAGAGCATAATTTAAAAGGAGAATATAAGCAATGAATCACATTACTGTTCAGTAACAAAAACATTTGTTGAATATCAATAAAAATTGCAACTCAACACAAAGTAGATAGTGGTCTATCTGATCCTGCCGACTGCTCCATGCAGGAAACAATATGGCATCCTTTGATCCCAGGTCATCCTGCAGTTGAGACAAACACATAGATTTTTGTGTTTGTGTAAGATTGCATCACCTGCACGTACATTACGCAAAAGCACTTACTGGCATGCCAACCAGTGGGTCCACATTCTTCGTCTTCCAAGTAGGCACGACATACATGTCGACAATGTGAACATCTTTCCCCTATTTAAAACAGTATTACGAATTTATATCAAAAGTACATTTAGTAAAAAAAAAAAAAAAAACAACTATATGAAATACCACGGGTAATTACATGTCTTCGAGCAACCTCTTTCACCACCTTGAAGCAGGCATTTCCAATCTACAATCACAAAGAACAAGAGCTTGACCATATGCATTTATTTTATATGAAAATAAATTAACTAAAATTTTTCCACATCAGTATACTCACATTGGAATCCATACACCGATTTAATCCTAGACTCCAGAAGTCTTCACGTGTAAGGCAGACGTCAGTGTCCTTCACAACCAGCTCTCCTGCAGGACGGTCTGTGTCCAGGATGTATTTCAGCTAAACGCAATAAAAATTCCACTAATTATCAAACCACTTCAGTAAGCACACTGTACAGCCAATCACAACCTGCACATGAGCTTCACAAACTGGAAATCAGCAGATGTAATGCGGCAAGATTGAAATGGCACTTGCCAGTTTATCCTGATGAGGACCCAGATCATTTTCCCACTTCTGTCCCAGGGAAGTATAAACATGGTCGGTGTTGTGTTCTGATGTCCAGTACATATAGTCCTGCAGAAACAACTGAGCCTATCCACGATCTACAGGGAAAAGCTTAATCAGTTAAGTTCTACATTTGTTATCATGACATTCACCAGAACAGAAGTCATAGACACAAGCTTAGGAAACACCCTTACTTTCTAATCGGTAGTATGGCCTTAAACGGGAGATGTTGAGTTGGTGACGTGTCCCATTGTCTTTCACCACAACAGCCACACCTTTTGAGGAAATGCTGGTCACCGTAAATGGTCCCTGATGGTGGTGGGTTAGGGAGTCTTTGAATCAGTGTTTTTTGGGGTTTCCCGAAATGAGGACATCATCACCAACACTGACATTGCATACTCGGACATTCTTCCTCTTCCGACTTCCGTAAGTCTTCTGCTGCTGCTTCTGTGCTTTCTCAATGTTGCACAGTACCTACAACAGAAAATAAAAAGTGCATTGAACTTAACTGTACACTGCTTGTATAAAATACCTGTTGTCTTTTCAACGGGCCATGACCTTTTCATTTTAAAGTCTTGATTCCTTCACCCTGGCATCAAGGTCTTCTTCTGGATCCCCAACTTCAAAGTTGTCTTCCATAGGACATGTGTTAATAACTTCAGGTAAACGAGGATGTCGATGGAACAACAAGAAGTAGGGAGTATGCCTGGTGGAAGACTGTTTATGAAAAAGTTCAAATTACAACACTGAATCATAAGGTGGAAGTGAAAAGCATAAAGGGGGTTGCAAAAAACAATAAGAACAAATACACCCACTTGCTTGGCAGTGTTAATGCCATAGACAACTGCAGGCAGGTGGAGGTCCCAGTCAATGTGGCTTTCGTTGACGTATTTCTTCAGAGTTTAATATTTTGATTTGTCCTTTCATCCTGCAAATATCAGACACATGCAAAAATATTGTCAATAACAGTTGTAAAAAATTTACAGCAAACATCCAAAGTGGTACCAAAGTATTGAAAAGGCAGTATCACCTGGCCATTGGTTTGTGGATGGTAAGCACTTCAGACAGCATGCTTAATCTTCAGAAGTCTGAAAATGTTGTCATTCAGCTGTGGATGAATAATCAGCAATAATTCATACAACAGATTTGGCAGTGATTAGTGGATGGGAACACATCAGAAGTTCAAGTTATAGGACAAAATGTCTGAAAACAACAATTGTTGGTACCTCATTGACAAACTCTTTCCCTTGGTCAGTGATGATTTTCCTGACAGCCAAATGAATACAGCTTCAGGATGATGGCCGTAGACACCTCACTCGCAGTCTTTGACATCAGCGGTTCGGCGACAACCCATTTCGTATAGAGATCCGTCATGGTCAATATGTATTTGTTCCCTCTGCTTGTCTCACGTAGTGGTCCAATGAGGTCCAGGCCTATGACTTCCCAAGCTTCTTTCACCTGAAGAAATTTCGACTATTACCTTACTAAACTATACTTCTAAGTGAAGACATACATACATTGAATTCTAACCTTAATAGAATGTAAGACTGGGGCCACGGTCTTCAATGGGTCATTTAACACCTCACCTGATACAAAAATGAAATGTTTACTTGACAACTTTAATCACCTCATAAGACATTACTTGTTGTCTTGTTGTGACTTGTTGTCACAAGACATGATTTGTACTACTGTAGTGATTACCAAGTATTTGTTCCACGTCAAGTAATGGGTTACCGATAATTGTGGAGATTACGCGATTTTATTAACCCTCTGGGGCCGGCAGACATTTCAGACAGAAATTTCGCCAAACCGTTTAAATAACTCTGCGAGTTTTTGTCATATAC